GTTAAACAGATCATTCTGGTACAAATTAATACTGAACACTGAGCACTGCAATGCTGATATTTTCAGCTGATAATATTAAAAATAACACAGGAGAATATAGAAGTAATTCAAAAATTCAATATTTTTTTTTAAAAAAGATTACTGTATTGTCATTTAATATGTGCAATTGCCTTAGGAATTCAATGCCAGTTTTTTCTGAATGTTATAAAACTGGGAACTGAATAAAGGCGGTATTTTCTTGTTTAGTTTTTGCAACATTTTTGCATTCTCTCAAGGAATTAACTTTAGATTTATGCACCACGTAAAATAATGTGTCCTAAATTACTCTACAGTTAATACCTCTAGTCAGCCAAAGAAAGTATTCATCCTGGGTGGTGTTGTTGTTTTTAGTGTAGACAAAATGTAAGAGGTACAGAAGCAAAAACCAGAAGTCTTCAACCAAGCTCATATGAAAACAGTATAAAGAATATGAACATTTCAATGATGGTACCAGCATTATGGAACTTATTAATCACCTGAGACACATAAGGCTCATGCTCATACCCCAAGACACCTATTGATTTAAATAGGGCTACTTGATAGACTGATTAAATGCATGATTGATCTAATTGTATTTAGTTGGTTACAGTCCTACTGTCTGAATTTTATTAGTTATTGTTTATTGGGTGTTAATGCTCTATTATTTATGTTATTTGATTTATACCTCTTCTTTCTTTTCATGTGAATACTCAAAACAGCTGTAATTTTTTTATGAATTGGTAAGCAACTTTGCAGATTTCCTCTTAAAGATACCCTTAAATAAACAAACACAGGCACTAAAGAAGAGCATGTTATTGAACATGTTATTGAAAAGAACAATCATTTCCTAAATTTTGTCACCCAAAGCCTACATACCAGAATTCTTATAAAGTTAGCTCCTTAGTACATGGTTTAATTTTAAAAACTCAACTCACTGATAAAAATGAATGATTAAAACATTCATGAACTGCATTCCAGACAACTTTTCAGGCAAAACAGTTAATCCAGTGAATATTACACCTGAACAGATAAGAATCAAAATCGTATCTAATCAACATTGTATCTCCACTGAGACCAGATGCTGATGGGAAGTAAGTAAGCAGGACTTGTGCAAGAGAAACCCTACTCACTACTACTCAGTTCCCTGGCAGTTGGCCTTGAGAGTAGAACAACCACTGTCATCCTTCATCTCCATCAAGATACTAATCTCTTTTTAAAATGATTCAGGTTGGTGCCCATTCTGTCTACATGTTTTGAAAACCAAGTCATAGTTTAGCTATATATTGAATCAATTATTATAACTATTTAAGCACATGAAGCACAGAATACTGAATCACTTTACTTTCATCTGTTCCATCAATTCAGGAGAAGAAAACAAAAAAATTGCTTAATTCTCTTCCTCGTTCCTAGTTACATACACCAGTTACTCATCTGCTTTTGCATTTTTTGCTGAACTACAATGGAAGCTTTCGTTATCATGGGAGTTTTCTTTTAGGGCTTCATCATTTGGTCTTTCTTCTTTTGCATCCTTTTTAAATGGAATAATTTCTTCATAAGGTATCTAAGATCACTGAGGAATATAATGACCAGCTCTTACAAGAAAGTTTCGTGTTTTGAGCATTTTATCAGTGAATCAATAATCAGTAGTAGTATCCATTTAAATCTTTTTATAAATAGAATATCTGATCAGAAAAATGAAGAATGAACAATCTGATCATCCCTGCAAACCTCCAATATCTGGAGCTTTGTGGGACTTTCTGGCAGTTTTCAAAATACACAGCATGATTGCAAAGGGGAATATTTCATTTCCAGAGTAAAGGTTACCTATATATACTTTCACAAATCTAATCCTATGTCAGTATTATTATTTCTAAGCAAAAATATCACTTTGTAGTTCTCTTATTCCATGAAAACTTTATGCAATAAATGGTATATAATGAATGTTCATGGCATTACATTTTTTATTAGTTAAAAATATTTAATTTTACATGTATTGCAGTGGTATTGATAAACTATTCAAGCATACGAAGCACAGAATTATGAAAATCTCCTTTTTATTTTACTTGTACTATCTAAAATGACATCTAACCTTTACCGGGATAGAGAAAAAATATAATAGAAACATACATTTGGTAAAATTACATATACATCTTCATTTCCTAAGTATTGTTACTTAATATGCTGAGAGTAATATATTCAAAAGAGGGGATTCTGCTCAATTAAAATTTAATTCTTCCACAAATTGAACAGTCAAAAAGGCACATACATAATCTTGTTGTGTGGCCTTCACAGTTAAGGAATGATTCCTCTACATAAAGCTCTCTGGGAGAAATAAAATGCAATTTGCCAAAATGTAATAGCGATCAGTCTAATCTAAAACACTTTCTATGGAAACACCAAGTCAACTATTTTCTGTATACAAATATTTAGATTGCCACACGCATTATTTTGAAACCTATTTTACTTTGAAGGAAACCCTACGGCCTCATTCTCAAACCTAAAAGTTCAATCATTTACCATGGATATATTCACAATATGCAAAACAGATATCAGACTGTTGATGTGACTTTAGAACATTTGAAACCACAACATGAAAGATGCAGTCCTTAGGTCTATCTCTATTGGGTGAGATTCCCGGTTCCAGTTCACCCATTTTTAGTATTTGGGTGTTTCTTACAATCAGGGTAACATTCTTAATGCTTCAATTGTGACTATTTCCAAATAAGACCAATTATTTCCAAATAAGACCAATTACTTCCAAATAAAACCAATTATTTCCAAATAAAACCAATCAAAGGAGTCTATTAGTCACAATCTCCATCAAACATAGAACTAACTTATCCATTTATCACAAGCATAATCAGCAAACTAACTATAAATCCATCCATCCCTCCATCTATCCACCCACCCAGTTTTGGTAAACAGGCAATTGGTTTGCCAGCTGCTGCTATTCTATTTAAAAAAAACAAACAAACTGGTCTTTGGGGATTGAAGCGGGTAAAAAGAAGACTGCTTTTCCTGTTGCCATCAGGAATGGGTTAAATCCCACAACTGTTCCCCAAAACAATTAAAGCCTTCAGATGCCAATATATTCTCACATCTCACTTTCTGTGGTTTAATTGTCTTAAAAGTTATCTTCAAGCTTCACAATATGGGACATATTTTTTCCTATTCTAAGGGAGGTTAATTAATGTTGAATGGTGTTAAATATCATCCCTGCCCTTAAAAGGGCTTCCAAAGGGTCTTTAGAGAAAAATAAATATATGAATAATTTAAATTCACATTCTAGTCTCTTTCCCCCCCTGCTGTAGACTATATAAAATATTGACCTTTTTCTCATTGATAAATTGACTCTCTGAACCCATTTTGTTCCTTTCCCATTATTTGAAGCCATCAACCTGCATTGTCCTTTAGCTTGACTATAACCAAGTTACTCTCCCACTATGCCCAACCCGAAAAGTATCTTTGGCACCTCTGCAGTTTGAGCAGCTTCACTTTTTTTCTCCCACACCACTCAGCCTTGGCTGCCCTTAAAGAAAATCCTCACAGAACAACGTGTCAATTTTGCATTCCTTTACAAAGGCAACTTCTATTACAGAGACCAGTAGCTTGGCTCTGCTTCCCCACAGACAGAGAGCTTTGTGACCATGTAGAAACCAGGGGAAAGGAAAACATTTTCTGCATGAAAATGCAACCTTCTTTAGCACAGGGAGCTAGGGCTGGATAAGGAAGAAAATTCTCCCTCTCTTCCCCGCCTTCCTCAAACTCTTATTTTTCCTCTCTTTCCTTGGTTCCAGGCACCCATGTATTCTTTCACCAGAAAAATTCATTTGTTTAATAAATCTCTATTCATAAACCCATGTACTCAGTCATTTAGAATGGTAATGTTATTGACATCACTTATCTCGGCACATTTCCACATTTAAGAGCTTCCCCTGGACATCCCTAACATTTCACTTTCATTTCTCTTGAGAAATTGCCCACATCTTCTTTGTACCTGTTCATGAGTAGCCAGGAAGGCATGTTAAAGGAGAAATGTGATCGAATGAATGGATAGCATCTAGAAAGCTTTATTGTTATTATTATTGTTATTGTTATTATCCCCAAAAATTCCACTAATCACTTTATTAAACAAGTAGGCTATGATCTAAGTTACTAGAAGACAGTCTCCATTTTGCCATATACTTTGCCATATTGAGAACATATTTCTTCTGGAACTTTTCCTGTCTGGATAGGAGCAAACGAGCTTCCGGTTTTACACACTAGATTCTAGAAGATGTTAAATATGTTTGAATGTGGTCACTAGCCAAGATAACCTAGGATTACCTGATATTTATACAGTACCATTAAAGGCCTTTAATAGATGCTTCCTAATCTCAATGAACAAGGGAGGTCTCAGAAGTCATCCTCTTTTAACACCTTTTGGCACAGGGATACTAAACTTAGCTCAATGATGGCTAACAAATTGGGAGTCAAGATTACCCATTCCTTCAACCTCTACGATCCTAGTCTATTTGGATTTTTTAACTTTCAATAGTATTTATTATTATTAAGATAATAATATGCCCATATGTGTTTCAAAATACCTTCCTTGCAAAGCCATAGCAAAGGTCACAGGTGAATAACCACATGCAAAAATACTTTTGCAATAAGAGAGACAAGTAACTTGATAACCAACCTGTCAGCATAGTTCTATGTTTACTGGAGAATAAAATCATAAGTCCTAATTTAGTAGAAAAGGAAAGCCTTAGCTAGATTGGTTTTTCTTTTTTTTTAAAAAAAATATTTACATATTACATTAAATGAACAAAATTAGATCCTCCCTCTTGGAAGGAATCCAGAGAATGACCAACTGCAGACCTTCAGAAATCCTTTTATGCAGCAACTGGTGTGGAGTGCAACTCAAGTTTGACTTACAGATCATTTAAATTGATTACACGAAGGGGCAGTAGGACAATGGAGCCCTTTTGAAGAGCACCTACCTTCCTTTGGTGGCCGCTTGGCTTCTCGTGTGAGATTGCAGACCTGGGTGGTCTGCAGTTCCTGGGTGAGACAACCTTCTGTCTGCTCATTCAGCGGCAATACGACATTATTGAGCAACACCATGGAATGGTCATTTCCCCCTTCTTCTCCTAAATGCTGAGGGCAGGTGCATTTTGTATACATGATCCCACAGGACTCGGTTCTCCCATTCTCAGATTTCAAGCAGCTCTCCAGCCAAGTGCATAATACATGGCAACCAAACTGGCTTGGGCTCACCTTGTTCAAAACCAAAAATTCAAAGAAAGACTTTTTATCATCTTCCTTTTTGTATAATCCTATGAAATCAAAGGGGTAGACCCGACGTATCTGAATGAAATTCTTATCATATTGCAGAAATACAAAAGCATTCTTGGAATCACACAGCTGCATTATAGAATGATTATTCTTTAAGAGATCCTTAATTTTTTCATGAGAAAAATGATCAAACTGATAAGCCAGCAAGGAAAAATTAGAGCAAGTGAAGTCCTTTTTGGAAAATTTCAGGTAAATGCTATATTTGGTTGGATCTGGGTTTTCCAGCGTCCATGTGCAGTTGGTAAAGTTTTTGGGAAACATTTCACTTAGAGAATACGATCCATAAATGACCCCCTTCACCAGCGTTGAACACCAGAAGTCTTGGGCAGCATTAAATCCAAACATAACCAGGAGATAGGTGGAAAATATATAAATCAGCAAATTACGAACAGCCTTCATCCTATGTCATTTGGCCTGCAGAAGAGGAGAGGAAATCAAGAATGCAGGTCAAATGCTTCATGAAACTCAAATGTCTTCTAAAATTGCAGCCAGATATTTTCAGGATTCCATTTAGAATATATATGTAATTTCTCCCTTAAAAATAGTTTTAAATATATTATTTTAATTCAAGAAATTGTTGGATGCTGTGTGAATAGTGCCACCATGTGGTCAATTTGGCTGACTAATTTGATTTTCCAGATTTTTAAAAATAACGTTATTAACACAAATGTGTCTTTTTGTTTTGCACATGTTCAGGTTGGCAGGTTCTGATTATTATAATTACAAATTGTATCCGACAGATTACAATAGAAACTATTTTTATATAGATCTTCTATACAGTATTTTCATGCAATAAAGAGAAAAATTGAGAGCAACTATTGTTATTCGGCATCTTTTCTACTGTTATTGTCACTTTGAACAATTATTATGAATCACTGTCATAATTTTTAAAATGCACAATTTACTCTTTCCTATACTTTGAGCATTATCTTCTATATGATTGTTACTAGAATAGTAGATTAAGTACCGGTATATTAATATTTTTTAAAAAAATCTGAATAAATCATTTAATTCTGGGAAAAACTTTCTTCCATCAGTAGGAGCAAGTTACAATACTTTAAATACTGAAATATCTCTGAAATTCATTCCATGTGGAATACATGGATGGAATTTCCAATAGAAACTAAAGGGGCAACTTGCTTTCTTGAGATACAACTTCCCTCTTAAATAGACCCACATTGATGCTTTTTTTCAAATATGCGTGTTGGATAATAATGCCATCTCTTCTCTTATTCATTCTATCCTGGAAATAGCACATGCATTTTAATCCTCACAGTAGCTGCAATTTCTATGTATCTCTTTCTAAAGAAAGTGAATTGCAAATATATTTACTTACAGAACATTTAAGAAAAATCGTGTGTGAGAGAAGATATTTCCAGTAGTCATATTTGTGAAGTTGCTTATTTCTTTAGTTAATGGTGACCAGTTCTCTGTGATGTCAAATTAATACTTTTAAATGAATTAGTTAGCATTTTTTTATTATTTATGTAGTGACAACATACATACAGTTAATGAATGTTTTATATTAATTCCTCTTATTCTTTCCAGCTTTTTTATCTCCACTCTGAATGACCAGGCTAGCATCTCCCTCCCCCAATTGCGTAATGCTGAACAAATCAAGAGATTTTGAGCTTTCCAGATTATAAACCACAAACTCAAAACATGAACAGGAGGAAGCAAACAGCTTAGTTTTCTTTAAATCTGTAAGTTCCCAAAGAAAAATAATAGGGTAGGGAGCAGTGTGCATTGGAGAAAATATTTCCCCAAGAAATGACAATCCTTTTTCTCTTTGCTGAGCATTATAAGCAACAAATGGCTTCTTTGCAAAATGAGGCTGAAAGGATGAGAAGGAACTTGCTTATGAGCAAACCCTAGATATGAGCCTCTACTCTATAAATGTTGCCGGAGCACTTTGTGAGCACTGCAGCCCTATTATTATTTGCAAAGGTTTTGGCACTGAAAGACAATGTGGGATTAAAAGCATAATCTTGGGAAATGCATTAGTAAAGCACATCTATTTCAGAATGTGTAGTAAGTGTGTTGGTCTTATTTAGACATTTTATAAAAATCTGAGGAACTGCAGGAAGAGACTTCAGGAAAATGATTTCTTAAAAACAGTCAGAGCTTCCACTGGCTGGCTTGTGTTCTGTTAAGACTCTTATAATCCAATGGATATCATTTTGGCTTTCCTGTTTGATCAGGAAAAAGACCATTCTCCATCACTTACACAGGGGCAATCTTTTAAATACACCAAATACAGCAAAACATAATATTTGGGGAACTGATGCAGCAAATGCCAGTCATTTCAGAAGCAAGAATTTCATATGATTCAGATCATGAAATGGGGAAAGAGAAAGCTGTTTTAAAACCCCTGATTCTGGAGGACCTAAGATCCATGGGAACTCAGTTTCTTCCACTGAAAGACAATCTGCTTCTCTCTCTCTCTCTCTTGCCCCCACCCCAGGTGATACTAGTTTAATCAAACCTAGACGGCGCCATCACTCCACAGATTGGCTCCACCAAGGAAGAGCCACAGACCTCCCTGAAACTTCCCATTAACCTAAGCAATCCCCTTCTTTCTCTTCTTTCCCTGAAATCACCATGTCCATTCACATCCATGGAGGCAAGATTCCTCTTGCAGCTGGGCTATCAATCCCGATTACTTGTCCACTTGCCAAGGAGAGTTTTTCTAACTTTTAATAGCCCGGATGAAGAGGTTTTTGCAGGTTAAGGTTTGTGTGTCAAGTCCTATTACCTCACCTAGCCTTGCTTCCCAAACAAACAAACAAAAAAAACCCCTCCAAAAAAACAGGCTAAGCTTCCCACCCCACCACCCTAGCCTAACCGCCCCTACCACCTTCCCATTTTCCCGCACGACCCTTACCTTCCACTCCGAAAGCAGGCAGCTATGTCTCTAAGAAGATCTTAGCACCACCAGCACATGTCCCAAAAAGAGGCACGGAGACATTCCCCTTCTGGCGGAAGCATCGTTGCCCATTTTCCTCAGCTGGCATTCAAAATCAAAAGCAGAAGAGAGGTGGGGGCGGGATAAAAATTAAAATGCTGGGATTTTTTTGGAGGGGGAGGGGGGTTAGAGGCACTCGGTTCCGGTCAAAGCGTTTCTTCCAGATCTATAAAATCGAACCAAAGATAAAGTGAGGGAGGGAGGGAGGGAGGGGAAATTAAAAAAAAAACCCAAACCGGATTAAGATGGGGGACGGACACTGCAGGGGGAAAAAAGGGAAAGGGATAAAACGGACTTGTTTTTTTTTTTTTTTTTAACAGCAGCTCACTTGTTTTCTTTTACTTGAAAACAGTCTAAACCCTACAGCAGAGAAACCAGGCGAAAGGGGCGAACCAGAAGGCAAACTCAAAAGAGATCCACTTGCCCTACTGCAGATTTGTTGGCGGGCTTTGGCTCTTGGCTGTGGTAAGACCGCTTACTCCCTTTCCTCTCTTCGCCTCCCTTCTCTCTCTTCTTCTTCTTTTTCTCCTTCTCCTTCCTTCCTCCTCCGGCTCTCAAATACCTGAGCGAAGAGCCGCAACTGAGGAATGGGGGGAAATGAATCTCTCGCCCGCTCTTTCTTTTTTTTCTCCTTGGCCAAGGATGGCGAATAGCTGTTTCGAAGGGAAGAAGCAGGACTCCGTCGAAAGAAAAGAAGAGAGTGACGAAGGTCTGGGTGAAGCGCGGGAAGAGAGAGAGAGAGAGAGAGAGAGTTACTGTATCTCTATGCGTGCGGGTGAGTGCATGCGCGCCCGAGTTTGTATGTGAGTGCGTGCGGGTCAGTATGTGTGTCTGTGTGTGTGTGTGCGCTCGCGTGCGTGAGAGAAAATAGAACTGCTGGGAATGTGTGAGTGCGCTTTAGCGTGCGCCCGGGCGCTCGGCTTCCTCTCCAGTGGCTCTTCGTGAATGTGTGTGTCTGGGTCTGTGTGCGTGTGTGTGTGCACGCGCGCGCTCGCTCCTTTCTTCGCTCTCTTCCCAATGGAGTGAGTGAGCCCCGCGTTCTCCAGAACGCTGGCGCGCCTTTGCGCGCTCCCCAGGAATCTCTGCCAAACCTTCCTCTCACCGCCACCCCTCCCCACCCACGGCTCTCCCGTTACAGCAGGGTTTTAAGCGCAACAACCCCCCCCCGTGCGCGCGGGCGCGCTCTCTCTCTCCCTTCGGGGCTTCTCTCCCGCGCCTTTCGGCCAGGCGCGCGCGCGCGCACAGGAGGCGAGGGAGGGGGTGTCTGCTTTCGCGCGCGCCTCGCTTCTCCCTCTCAGGCTCCGGCAAAGTGGAGCCCGCCGCGGTGCGATTTTACACGTCACAGCTACTCAACCCTAAGCACGTTTTCCTTCCCTCCCCACAGCAAACCTCTCTCTCTCTCTCTCCCCCCCCCTTGCGTCTGGGAGGTTTTTCCAAAATCAGTTCCCACACCGCTGTGTGGCCGGGTGCGACCGAACCTCAGAGGCTGGGCAAGAGAAGGGGAGAGCGCGCGCGGAGGAGAGGGGGGTGAGGGTGGTGAGTGGTGGTGGGGAGACGAGGAGGCAGCGCAGGCATCGATCTCTTTTTTCCCCCACCTTCCCTTCCTCCTCAACGCCCCCACCCCCCAAAAAAAATACATGGGGGGGGGAATCCTCCCGCCCTTGGTCTTGGCTCTTTTGAGTACTGCCCTCTCTGTCGCAGCCCCGAGAGCGATCGGTTCGCCACGGCGAAGCAGGTTTCAGTGATCTGGAGCTCCGTGGAGAAGGAAAAAAAAACAACGCGACAAATAAAGAAATAAAATACTCGTCCCTTCCCGTTCCTCTCTGCCTTCCCACAGACGCTAAATGTTAAGGGAAAGAGAGAGAGTGAGAGACAGGTAGGCTAAAAAGAGGAAAGGAAGCCGGAATCGCTGGAGTCCAAAAGCGCTTGCTTGTTGCAGGCTGATCGCATCTCTCCTTGGCCGTAAACCCCGATTTTAAACCCTAGATCTGGGGCAAAGCACAAAGTGTTTAATTTACAGCCAGACGGAGAAAATGGCCATTGTTCCCGTTTGAGAAAAGGCGGCACTTTGAAAGCGGAGACCTGTGATGGTGTTTTGTTGTTTTCGTCGATTTCTTCGCGGAGATAGAAGCTTGCCTGCTTTCGTCTCTTTGTCGCGATAGGGGAATGCCTGATGGCGTAAAGATGTAGCCAGATGTTCGATTTGTCTGGCTGCTTTTTTTTTTTTTTAACAACTACTATTCTTCCTCCCTCCCCCATCTATCCGCCCCACTGGGATATTTTAACACCGATGACAGAAAACTGAATGGCCATTTGAAAGTAAGATTAGCCTGTCCGGAATAATTCTTGAAAGCAAGAGAGACGTAGCTGAATGACAATAGGCACAAACGGACTTTCTTTAAAAAAAAAATAAAAAAAAAATCGGAACTGCACTGCAGAAGAAAGGGAAGGCAGGTCAGCGGTGTTATTGAACCTTGAGATTTGTTGATTGAATTCAAGGAACCCATAGGAGTGCCAAATAGAGTCTCTCTCTCTCTCTCTCTCTCTCTCTCTCTCTCTCTCTCTCTCTCCTCCCCCTCCCTCTCCCTCTGCATGCATAACCAGAGAAATGGAAAACTTCAAAGAATAAATACCAAGGATTTTATTCCAAGGATGGGGATGATGTAGTCAGAAGAATGTGATGGGGATATCCAGAATACAGCTGTTAGTATCCATATCAAATATTTTTGATCTGAAATGGAGCCCATTGAAAGGTAAAATGATAGGCTCGCAGCGAGTAAGGCTTTGCGAGGAGTGGCAAATGAATGATGAAAACACTTGATGGTAAGAAGGGATCTTGTCCAGAATGGCGTGTCAATGTGATGACAAAGTAGCAAGCTACTGGAAAAGAATGGGCAGTAATTTGACAGTGAAATAATAGTATTTAGATTACAGTGATAGGTGCTGTAGCCCAATGTGACACAACAAAATGGTTATTCCAAATGGGAGGTGACAATAAGCATACTTTGTGGCCATGAGACAGCTGGGACTGGGCAGACCTCTGCCAATGGAATGACAGTCACCATCATGGCTTAATAAAGTTTTGGACCCAGAGCAGAGTACAGTGCTATGACTGCTGAGCAAACTGGTGGAAGAATAAGGCTAAATGGTAACGGGCTGATATGGAATTAACACACCACAATTATTCAGAGGCAGCTCTAGGAAAAAGGGTGAATGATTCCAAGCATTCAACTCACTAAGGTGAGTTGAAAGAGTAAGTGGAGGTTACTGACAGCACCAAATGACAAAAGGAAGAGAATGCACTTAATGTCAAGGAATCCCTTGAAAAGCTGGGAGGAGATGGATTGATACTGAGAAAATAATAGCAATTGGCAGTAAGAATTGGGATGAATGATAGGATGGAGGAGATCACTGAACATATGTCACCTAGGTTGGCCTTTGAGGAAGAAATTTAGAAATTGGAGGAGTTGATTAAAATGCCTGAGGAACAAATTAATGGGATAATCTTATAAATGCATCATGGAGTTAAAGGGGTCTTCTTCCAAATGTTACTGGGAATGAATGAAATACTATGGGGTGCTATAAAAACCAATCATCATTTTAATGACTAACGGGAAATGTAAGTCTTTTGGAAAGCATTGATGTCAAGGACATGGTAGAATGAGAAAACGAACTATAAGGAATTGATAGAATTATTCAATGGATTTATAAAGACATGACAAGGTAATAAAAATATCTTGGGCATAAATTGGAGACTGATGAGAAGATAACATTTGACAGAAAAGATAGATCTCACTGGAGGAGACAAAATGAAACTCATGGGAAATGTGCATATGTGTGTGAGAGAGATGTGTGCCTAAGAGGAGGTAGAATTGATGGATATTTTGTAAAAAGAAATGTACAAGGAAATTGTATATGTCATATTGAGCTACAAAAGGGATAAATTAATAAGCCATTATGATTACCACTGATAATCAATGTAGATTTCATGAAAGATAAAAGACAGGTTCTTCCTTTTTGATACTTCCCAGATACATTGGGACAATTCTAAGAATTTCCTTCATGTGTTCCAATTGAAATTGTTTCAACATCTCTGATGGGAGGTACATTGGAAAGTCGTATAAAAGGAATGCAGCCTAAATACACTTACCACAGATTGGTGAACAAAAGTTAATACACAAGTCAGCATTAGTACTATCTGGCATAAACGGTACAACATTTGCTCATGTTCATCTGACAAAAAAAATCTGTTATTATACTAACAAAACTTCTAAACATCATCTAGAGAATAAAGAAGAACATGAAAATAGGAAACAAAATCTGATTTACAAAAACATAAATTCTTTATTAAAGTACTGGAGTTTATTAATTTTAATGAACATTTTCCCCTTCCTCCAGAATTTCAGGACATATCATAATATTCTCCTTAACATGTTATCATCCTAATACCGTGTTTCCCTGAAAATAAGACCTCCCCAGATAATAAGCCCAATCGGACTTTTGAGCACATGTGCTGAAATAACCCCCCCTCCAAAATAAGCCCTCCCCGAAAATATTTGAATGCATGTGCAGCCGGTCTGGTTAGGGTTAGGGAGACAGAGCTGAAAATCAGGTAAGACAGCAAGAGGAGCCCCATCTTGCTCCATGCGCCCCAAAATAATAAGATCTACCTGAAAATAAAGCCAAGCACTTATTTCGGGGTTCAAAAAAATATAAGACAGGGTCTTATTTTTGGGAAAACACGGTAGTTCAGTGAGATATTTTGGCCAAGAGATAATGAATGTTTCATGTGCTTCAGTCTAAATTTGTATCTATTATTTTATTTAGGAATCTGTTGCTGTGTAAACAAATGCACTTTATAAATAAATGAGAAGATGTTATAAATCCCTAGTTGTTTTTCTTTTATTCTTCCATTATTTTTTACACAAGGCATTTGTTCTTTGGGAAGCAACATTTCATGTTCTTCATAGAGACACTTTTAATGGAGACATAATTTCATGCAATTTTGTCTGAATTGATACATAATGCTAATCCAGAATTTAATTGAAAGAGTCAAAGCGTAGCCTTAATTGTGAATCAAGTGTCTGCATCATTCCATTATTTTCCATGTTTGGCTTTCTACCTGGCAGAGCATTTTTCTATCAGCCTTCCCATTTGAATAGACTACTAGGATAGGACCATTGGGTTCTTTTAAATCAGGTCCCCAACCCCTGGGCCACGGCCAGTGGTGAAATCCATTTTTTTATTACAGTTCTGTGGGCGTGGCTTGATGGGCATGGTGTGGCTTGGTGGGCGTGGCTTGGTGGGCATGTAGGGGAAGGATACTGCAAAATCTCCATTTCCATCCCACTCCAGGGGAAGGATACTGCAATATCCCCATTCCCTCCCTACTCCTGGGGGAAGGCTATTGCAAAATCTCCATTCCCACTGCACTCTGGAGCCAGCCAGAGGTGGTATTTGCCAGTTCTCCGAACTGCTCCAAATTTCCACTACCGGTTCTCCAGAACCTGTCAGAATATACTGGATTTCACCCTTGGCCATGGCCCAGTACCAGGCTGTCAGCTGTTAAAACCAAGCCTGCCCAAAACATCAGGCAAGCACATGTGCATCCCCCTGGCACAAGCAGTGGCAAGCATGTGCACATGTGCTCCATTTACACGCACTTGCCTGCTGCTTGCACAGAACCATCTCCTCTCCTTCCTCGCCCCAGTTCGCAAAGCCAAAAAGGTTGGGGAACTGTTTTAACTCATGGCATTTAACTGCCACTCACGCTTTTTTTTTCTGTTCTTGCTTGTTTTCAATGATTATGCAGATATATAAATTATTATAAGTGGGCATTTGGCCATCTATAGTTTGGTTAGAATCTCCCTTTTACAGCCTTCCTATTTAGTTCAGGTTGGCTGAAGTTAAGCAACGGAAGAAAACAATGTAGGCTGGAGTGAGGGAAAGGAAGTAATAACTGTGAGCATGGACATATTAGATTTCTTGAAAATCAGCCTATAGGTGTTTCACTTTTTCTTCTTTCTTGTTATTTCTCCATTAGGTGCCATGTGTTGAAATGTTCATCAGTAACTTCTTTTTTGGAGAAGTTAAAAAGCCACTTAGAATAAGAGTTGTTTTGTTACTTGTTCTTTTTGCT